AACTACAATATTGCCACAGGGACATGAAAGACAGTTCGAGGAATATAATTAATAATGTTGTAAATATTTTGTAGGGTGTCAGGTGGTCACATGTCTTGCATCATGGATGGGGAGGAGGCTTGATCACTGCACTGTACACCTGAAGCTGATGTTGTATAATATTGTATGTCAACTATAAGTGAATATATATAAGTGACTATATATATAGTCATGGGATGTGGAGTATAGTGTGGGAGTGGAGTCAAGGGATTTGTAACAGATATGTATGATATTGGGGGTAAGTGGGGTGGCGGTTTGGGGGAGGGGGGTTGTCACCTTGAGGGGTAAAAAGTATAACTATTGCACTGTGTTGTACAGCTGAAACTAATTCTAAAAAATGTGTATTTCATAATAAAAAATAATTTTAAAAAGTGGAAGACAAATAAGTACACTATGTTATTACATATAAAACAAAAACATCCATTACGGGCAGATACTACTAACTGATTCGATATCTATAACAAGTATTGACTATTCTGCAGTTCCAAAAATGTTAAAGCACAGTGAAGTACACCAGAGATGACCTTCGCTATAGTCTATAGATTTTTAAAAATTGGAGAAATACTCTGATTTTAAGATTATTGATATTCTATTCTTATTCTAATTTTGTGAACAAGGTGAAATAATATAGGATGGATAATATGTCAGGTAGGTGAATAATTTCTAGTTGAACACTGATAGTCAGAGAATATTACAGAATCATGGGATAGATAATAAGCTGAGGTAAAATTTCTAATATCACCATTTTCCTCAGTAACTTGAATAAATATAAATATCACCCCCATAAAACACATTTTATACATATTTTGAAATAGCACCTAATATTATTGGGAAATCATATCAAAATTAAACAGTTTCAACAGACTAAGTTAAAAAGTCACAAACTATATTAAGCAGAACACCAGCTCTGTCATATGTCCCTAGTAATACTCAAAAATAATTTAGTAGCCAAATACATTTGGAAAATGTTGAATAAATAAAGTTTAAATTGGTTTCTTAACTGTAGAACTTCTAGTGGTCACTGAAAATCTGCAAGATAGGAATGTAGCATAAATAATTTTACAAATGTATTTGA